CTTTAGAAATTTTGCCTCTGGCTTAACTTAATTTATTTGTAATTAGTAATGGATACAATTTTCTGCACTAATTTGGTAGTGTTTTTACTTAAATTTTACTTGAAATTACAGTCCTCAGACGTGTATATGTATTCATAGGATGCTGTAGATGTGAATTTACCACAAGTGGTACCCAGAGGAAAATTCTTGATACTGTCTCTTGTGGCTTGGTTCTGAGTTAATTCCATCTTTGAAGGACACTTGAAGCTGAATCTAGCTTGGCTGCAGGTTTTTTTTATAGTCATTTTTGCTTACTGTTGATATACCAGTTTAAGCACAAGATAAAGCCAATACTTCATCTGAAATGGAAGATAACTGCCAAGAAAGCACCTTTAGAGAACAAGACGTGGGTGTCCTGGTGAAGTCGAAAGGGTTGCAGCAAAGATAGCCAACTGTGTCCTGGATTGTATCACACAATGCTTGAAGTCATTTTTTCAACCCTGCCAGTCAAACACCTGGAGCAGGTTGTCCAGGACCACATCCTTTTGAGTATCTCCAAGGATGGATACTCCACAGCCCATGTAGGCAACCTACTGCTTTATCAGCAAAAGTGTAGCCAACAGGACAAGGGAAGTGATTTTTTTGACCCATGACTCCCATCCTTCTGAGTTTTTGAGACTGTGTCTGGAGTACCATGGCCAATTTTGGATTCCGCAGGATGAAGGGCATTGGCATACTGATGCAAGTTCAGTGGAGACCTACCAAGATGTTTAGACAGCTGGAGCATGTGACATAGGAAGACAGCCTTGGGAGAACCTGTTTGTTCAGCCTTGGAAGCATAAAGGAGGATTAGTTATCTGATGGAAGTAGATAGAAGAGGACAAAGTTGAACTCTTAGAGCTGCAGAGCAGAAGAAAGAGAAGCAAGAGACACAACTTGAAAACAAGGGGAAACTTCTTTAGATAGAGAAAAAGCTTTTTCTGTAAGGGTTGGAATGCTCGTCCTTGGAGATACTCAGATTTGACTGGACAAGGTCCCGAGCAACCACCTCTGATCCTGCCTTGAGCAAGAGGTTGCACTTGACATCTAGGAGGTCCCCTTCAGTCTGTTTAATCCTGTGACTTTGTACTCCTGAAACAAAAAAGGAAGCAGAGATTTTTAAAATAGTCCGGAAGTTTTGGATCCCTCTTTAATTAATCAGTAATGAAGATTTTGGTATTTTCTTCTGTTTTTCCTCTCTACCAGTGAAGTTCTTTTTGTCTCCTGCCATGTAAAATCAACAGCATTGAAACAGCATTACATTTTCCTTGATTTCTTTTCTGAACACCCACTTTTCCTTGAGGATGGTTAAAATACTAAATTAAAAATGTACTGTAGTAAGAATATGAGAAAGGTGTTCTGGTGCCAGTCAGGGATTGAGACTCCTGTGGTGTGTAAATGGGCATGCAGGGAAGAGTAAGAACAGGGCAGGTACTTAGGATGTTTTCCCCTGAGCATTCTCAGCTTCTGACTCTCTAGAGGTCAGGGAATCTCTTGAACTTTATGCAATGTTCCTGTATGCTATTTTTGGAGAATCTCTTTAATTAGTGCTTGTCCAGTCTCCTTGTGAACACATACAAACAGTTTTTACATCCATGACTCTCTTTGGTAAGAGGTTCTGCTGACCTGCTGTTTGTTACACGAAGAGCTGCCTTCTGTTGTTTGTTTTGAAACTTCTGTTGATATTAATGTGATTTCTTATAGTTGTTAATATTAGAAAAGACACTGAACAGTTGATCCATAGTGCTCTACATCATACCATTTTTGGTTCTGTCATTATCCTCCTGAGTTATCTTGTTTTCAGGCCAAAAATCCTTACCTCATAAGGATGTTCTTTGACCCTGTGTATTACTATAGTTTTCTTTGGTTTAGGGAATCTTCTATTTGTTTATGCCAGCCAGAAGGGTCCTTTTATGGAAAGGATTCTCAAATGTTACTTTTTCTACAGAAAGGAATTAATACTGCGGATTCTTAGAGATGAAAGAGAACAAGTAATGAATATGAGAGTAAAAATATAAGTTACCTGAGAACCTTAAGAGAGAGTCGCATCTGGAAATTTCATAAGAACAGGACAAAAGTCTTGGTTTGTGATAGGGCTATTCAAAAGCATGGGACAGGAGGAAGTCTTTGAGTTAGACTATTAAAAAGCATAAATGTTTGAGATACCTGTGTAATACTGATTGAATACTTTCAAGTATGCTATAATCTTTTTTTAATAATAGTGTTGTACTCTTTGTCTTTAGAATGGTTTTAATATTCAAGCTTGCAAGTTTAGGAATTGTGAAAAAGAGTAATAAAAAATGCAAGAAAAATGTTCAGCTTGAAGGAGACGATAATTACAACATTTTAGAAGCAATAAATTTCAAGAGGTTTTAGGCTTTCTAATTTTCTTTTTCCACCAGTGTCCTATCTTCTTCACTTGTGTAACAGCATGTTTAAACTTCTATAATGCAGGAATGCTTGAACACTCTTCTTAGTTGCTATGACAAGAATAAAATGAGAGATTTGCTATTACAGTTTTGTTTCTACCCACTGATAGGATCTTCTGCATCCTTAACAGGTTTTTTTGAAATTCATGTTCTTAATAATCTTGATAAATTAGATCTGCATTTGCTAGATTATTACTAGGTATTAATAAAGATTTTTCTTGTTGCTTTAAGTCTGAAAAAGCTAGGGTGAAATCGTTAAAAATCGTTAAAAATCAAATTTTGAGGATGTATGAAATTTAGAAGTGATTGACATGCTGTTGCACTGTTCTTTCTGCGCATCATTAATTGAGATGCTGGTTAGCAAAAGGTATTTCAGCTTTCAAGGAATTTTAGTCAAAATGTGTAGTTTGTTGACACAATGATTTTTTTTCCAGTTATGCTCTGATCTACTTAGTATAAATTAATTTACTAAACTTGTACTTTTATCTTGCTGTTTCTTGAAGTCACCATGGCCTCTGATTTTTCTTTCAGACATGGAACTTGTGCAAGTTTCATTTACCTGTGCATTATTTTCTGATTATATTGCTGAATGCCCTGTGTTAAGTTATTTGCCAGCATGTTTGCTTCAGTGCTTCTAGATTTACGTTTGAGGTTATTCTAGAGACACCAAGGATGTTTGTGCAAGCAGATTTTTTTTTTATAGTGGTTGTCCATTAGGCATGTTCCAAGAAGTCAAGTCCTTTATAAATGTAGCCTCCTGTATTGTTACTGGGGATACTGTGTTGAGTTTTCTTTATGCCCTTCTTTGTCTATTAGCCTGTCAGAGGAGATGAATGTATATTGTCAGACTATCTCTGACTCATAGAACAGTATAATTGCTGCATTTTGGTTTTGATACTTAGCGTGAATTTCGTCAATATTAGGAAGATAATTAGGTGCTGGGTAACATGTTTAAAGGTACACAGAAAAAAATAAGATAGGAAGGAAGGATCATGGAGTTGTACTTTATACTCTGCTCTAGGCAGGAGCTTGATATCTTGACAGATACCCTTTTTTGGAGGAAACCCACAGCAAAGGTTTCACCAAAGCAGCATGTGGAAATTTTGCTGTTCTCTGCAAGGTGCTACATCCAGTTTGTGGTACAGGCATGTGTATTTGTATGTTTTTGTCTGCATGCTCTTATTATAGGGAAGATGACATGTTATAGAACTGGCAGTCTGTAAGACTGGATTTAGCTAGTTCTCAAACGTAGGTAGTTAAAGATAGGAAGAGCAAAGATATCCTCTGAAGCTTCTCTTACCTGATCAAAGTGAAGCACCTGTGAAACATACTTTGCCTTTCCTTCCCTCTTCAGTCCTTGAGAATAGGGAAAGAAGAAGAGGTAATGCCAAAATTTCTCAACGGAAGGCAGGAAATCTAAAGTGCCTAAGTTATGATAGGGTCTTTTCTAGTGCTCATTAAGGCAAGAGCCTGTCTGATAGGAGGCTCATCACTATTGAAATGAGGAATTTTCTGTGATCACTATCAAAAACATGATACTATTTGTATGGGCAGGGAAGGTGTCTAGATATTTTTTTCTGAAACTTGATTTATGGTGCTTGAGATACTTGCCTACCACTGACATGTAATACATGTAGCACATCAGAACTATTGATTTTATATGTTGACTACCTCATTAGTATTTCTGCTTGGTGCAGCTTTTCTGTGCTTTTTATAGAACATTTGTTCCATTCTGTGGAAAACTTGATGGACTGACTGCTGTGTTGAGAGATGTCAAAATTGAGTCTGTTACCAGATCACAGTTTCTCATTGACTTCAATAAGGAACATAGAAACTCTGCAATGTGTTCCTCCTGCCTGGAGGACTGGAGAGTACAAATACTTTCTTTCCAAAGTTTAGGACCATTATTTATTCTTCATAACTTCTTTACTATACGGGTGACTATGCAATGGAACAGATTGCCCAGAGAGGTTGTGGAGTCTCCCTCACTGGAAATATTCATGAACCATCATGATGCAATCCTATGCAATGTGCCTTAGGAAGACCCTGCTTGAGCAGGGAGGTTGGACCAAAGGTCACTTCTAACCTTACCCATTCTGTGAATCATATTTGCCATGCCAGATTCCTGTTTCTTTCCTAACAACCATTGTCCTATCAGAAAGGAGAGAGGAACAGAGTTCTTTCAGACTCTCCAACTCAGCACAACTTGCTGTATACTCTTATCACAGTTCACAGATGGTGGGATTTGGAATGAGTTGGGATATTTTGGTTGGTTTGATTTTTTTGAAGGGGGTATGTGTGTATGTGTGTTTTGTCTTTACACAGAACAGTTTTAGCTGGCTTTTCCCTAGGAGTAAGAGACCCAACTATAGTGCTGAATGCTCTTAGGAGGGTGATTATGAGAGGTGGTTGATTATAGGAAGGGTTTGATGGAAGAGCAGGTTGCAGAAATGTTTTCTGTGTTTGTTTTTCCTTTTTTAAGACCATAATTTAAAGTCAAAAGCCAAGCGTAGTTTTAACTAATGCATTGTTTTACTTTGTTTTGTGTTTTAGAAATGTGGCAAATTAACATCTTGTACTGGCTGCAGAGCTCAGTGCAGGTTTTTTGACATGACTCAGTGCATAGGACCTAATGGATATATGGAGCCATACTGCTCAACTGTATGCATGAACACACACAAATCAAAATATGCAAAATCACAAAGTAAGTGAAAAGGATGGTGGATTTTCATCACTGCTAAGAGTAGACTTTTTTTTGAAGTTTGAAGACTGGGGGTGGGTGGTTTTATTTTACGCTTAGTCTATGCAGATGTGACTTCATAGGGTTTTTTAACTTCTTTAAAAACAAAAGAGAAAAAGACCATCTTATGTTGAACACTAGCAAATGGACCCATGAGGGGTCATTTTCCCAAACAACCTTTTTTCTTGGTGTTGAAAACGATTTTCAACTGTCTTAAGGCCTCCTGTGAAAAAATGCTAGTACATAATGTGCTCTGATGTGTCACAGAATAATAGTGTAGTTTTTATGCTCATGAATTCATATTCTCTTTTATGTGATCTAACCCCACCCCATTTTTTTTTTCCTCAACCAAGAGATGGAGAAGGAAGGAAGTAGTTATCATGCATATTGATATTGTCTAGGTAAAGTTTTTAATCCAGATGAAAGGAACTGGTAGATAACTCAAAACACATATTCTTCAATATGCAAAGCAGTCATAGACCTCAACCTGAAGTTGAAAATGCTCTAGTGAATTTTATGGAAGGAGGTGCAGTTTCATATTTAATGCTGATCTTTAGTTTTGTGTGACTTCTAGAAGCTGACTGGAAAACAGACAAGTCGTAGTTTTTTACATTGAAATAGTGGAAAGGGTAATACTTTTTTTTTTTCCACGACTATTTTGTGTTTATTTTGTTTGTAAACTACGTTTTTCTTTTAGGTATGGAAATTATTTGCCACTTTTGTAAACGAAACTCTTTACCTCAGTATCAAGCCACAATGCCTGATGGAAAACTGTACAACTTTTGCAGTTCCAGTTGTGTAGCTAAATTTCAGGTTAGCTGTTGTGTTAAACCTTTTCCTCCCTAAATATTTGTGTGCCTATGTCTGTGTTAAGTAGTTACATATTAAACTAACTTGCTTGTATATACGTGCTTATGAGTTATAATTAACATAGCAGATAATTCTGGCTCCTAACAATTTCTTTGATTAAAATACTGTTTCATAATGGTAACACTGGCTTCTGTCTTAAATGTATAAAATCAGATAATGACAACCAATTTCTCCTTGATATCATAAGAAAACACAAAGCAATGTCAGTACTTATTTTTATCACCTCAGCCTCTTCACAGAGGTGAGCCTTGCTAGTTTACATTGAAGATCAACAAATTTAGTCTCTTTTATACTAAATGTGGTAACAGAATTCTCATATTGAATATAGTACTAGTAAAGGTCTGTCATTGGGTAGAGTGACTGTCTCTGAAATGAAAGGTTAGAGCCTAAGCCATTTTGTTGATGGATGAAACTAGCTGTTCAAGTTATGTCCAAAAACTGCAAGGCCAGTGATAGGCACATTGGAAGATGCTGCAATACTTATTGAAAATGTCATATTTTTAATATGACTTAAGGTTAAAGCATATGGGAAGTGTGTTGTACTGATTCATCTCTAGGTGATCAAAGAATATTTGCAAAGAAAATGTTTCAATTTTTGTCTGTGAAAACAGTTTTCCCAAATGTGCTCTGTATGATTGATAATTGCCTCCTCATATGTTGAATAGTTACACCCACACACGATTTTCCCATTTGCCATTGAACTTTTCTGTTTTCTGTCAACTGGACAGCAGATCAATCTTTTAGTTGCTTCTTTAATATATCCTATCCAGGATATCCATCATGTAGCCATGTTCTGTGTTTCCATCCTAACCAATTTGGTAGATGTCTGTCAGTGGAACTGATCAACAGAATAGCTGCAGATTGTTAGTATGTCACGACAGATCTGTAATACTTCTTGCAAACTCATTTAGCATCTGTTTTATTGTACATGATCTTACAATTAATTGTGGCCTCAAAAGCTCTTGGAACAAATAAAATGAGTGAATGCCAAATACAGCCTAAACTTTTTTGAATTTGCATATAAGTCAGCATTAAATGACATTATTGAATATAACTGCCAGATCAGTTAATGCTGGTTGTGGGTTTCTGGTCTTACTGAGACCTTGCTGACACTTCTGTTGCAGTTTCAGTGCTGCATATAGATCTCTCCCTTCAATATTGTATTAATTTGAGCAGGCATACAGTCTGTGACTTCTCAGTAAAGACCAAGAACAGGTAGGTGGTCACTTGCTTACAGTTGGTTTGCTCAGACAGCGCTGTCGGGTTTTAGCTTTTGATAGTTTTTGTATATTCATGTAGAAGAATAAAATGTATTCACCATTAGGTAAGAGTTTAATGTATGAGAACAGCTTCTCTGTTCTGTTCACGTAGTGTTTAGGTGGAAAGGATGGTATACCACAATGTGAGCATTGGACTGAAGGTGTTCCCTTGAGGCTTCTTTTATACCTAAGAGACATGCAAGGCATTAAACCTAAGTTGAAAAAATGTCCAATTTGCTATACAGTTCCATATTTGTCACTGTTTACTAATGGAGATAACTCTTGTTTTAATTTGCTGTGATCGTATTCATTCCTTTTTCTTATTGTGCCTGTTTTTCCTAGATATTTTTTCTTCAAGGGTTATCCTTCTCAGAATAGAGTAGTTGCTATTGCAGGGCTGTGTCTCTTCCCTTATGCAAAAATTTTAGTCCTTTTAATTTACAAATGGGTTGGAATACTTAAATTCATAATTTGTTCACAGTACTTTAGGGTTGATTACAATTTTATCTTACAAATAACCTTTTGTTTCTAGCTAATTGTTCTCTTTCAGCATTGTGATGGTTGTCTGGAAGTGTTCTTCATTATATACTTTACATCTCTCTTTCTTGGACTCGCATGTGCATGTGCACACACACAAAAATACTTTTCTGAGTTTGATCATAATAACAATAATTGAGGCTTCCATACTCATGCTGTGTGTGCATGAGCATGAGGAGAGTGTTTAGTTCCTTCCGTGTTTCATTTCATGCCCTTGAATTTGCATGTGGAACAGTCCTGGTGGATAGCAGTATGTCAAATATTCCTCATACTTGTTTGCTTCTCTCATTCACGTTAAGAACAACTTGATTTTTTCAAAGACTTCTTTTTTTTTCTCAACTAGAAAAAAACCTAACCAGAGTCTGGCAACCTACTAGCTCTTCCACATGTACACTTAGGTATAGAAAAGTTTCCACAATTTGATTTTGTGTTGCTGTGAGCGAGGATAACCCTTCTGCCATGTATGCTGTGGTGGCAGGGGCAGGCCAGAAGCTGTACTGCTATGGTGGTCTTCTCAGAAGAGTCCTGGGCTGTGCCTGCCTACTATTCATTAGTAATTTGGCAACTTAAAGCAGTTTGAGTTGGTTGCGTTGAAGGCTGAAAAGGGCTTTACAATGATTTTTTGCTTTGCTTGGCACTTCCCATGCTCTTGTTGTTCAGGACGGGCTCTCAAAAGAGTGAATGTATCTACATGACTTCAAAGATATCTTTGTTCAAGCACAACATAGGTAAAACCTTGCTTTTCAGGGTGACCTGGGAAAGCTTTTAATGAATTTATGATCTTTTTTCTGTGTTATTCTCTGTGTGTAATAATACTCCCAAATAATTTCTAAAGATACTGTAAATATCTTGTAAGTTAAAGGAAAGGCAAGATGATGAAAATACTGTATGCCATGTCATCTTGACTCATTAAAATATTATATAGAAGCAGTCCTTAATTATAAGCAGGATTTCATCTTCATTCCTCCCTCTATCTTCAGTGTTTCTGTACAAGTTGCCACATCTGCTAGTTATTTACATTTTCTTCATTCCTGAACTGGAGGTGGTGGGTATACGTGCTTTTAGTTTTCAACTAGAGCTCCTAGGATTTCTGTGGTGCTTACATGACCCATATGGCAGCCTGTGTTGAGCATGGTGTTTGCTCTGTGAAGAAACCTGCAAATGCAGAAGGGCACAGGTTGGACCTTTGTGGCTCCCATGCTAGTGCAAGTCTTCAGCACCTTATTTAGAGCAACCAAAGTGTAGCAAACCTCACTCAACCACAGGGTCATTTGCTGGATATAATGGGAAAAGTATGGCAATACCGTGTGTGCATCTCTGTTAAAGCTGTTAAGGGCCAGTGGGCCAGTGGGATAAAGGTGTCATCTTTTCTTCTGTATGGCATTTGGTTCTCAGGTCCTGCCTGTGATTAGGAAATGTGCATGACTACTTCATGTCTGCAAACTCCTAACACAGAATTAATGCATCTGCATAAAATGATATTGCTGGTACTGCTAGCTAGCACATAGCAGTGCCACCTATGTCAGGGTTTATATCAGTAATAAGTCTCATGGCAATTTTTTCTTTATTTTTTAGTGTAGGTAAACCCTTACTAACATGAGAGTCTGAAGAAAAGTATCCTGTAGCAGAAATGTTTTGAATTTTCACTGTTACAGGGTGGAGAGGTAGTAAGAAGTCTGTCTGAAGAGAACTGCCTTTAAATATATTTGTCTTGTAGCAAACAGTGTGGGAAAGTTTCTTGAGAAGACAGATGTAAGAAATGTTTCCTCTGGATTCTTCAACTGTCTGTGATTGCTACTGATTCAGATTTTTTCTCTTGAACACGGCATGTGTAATACACCAGTAGTTCTTGCTTGATCAGGGAATGTGCAAAAAGACTGTTCTGTATGCCCATAAGACCTACTTGGAAGATACTGGTACTGTATAATTGAGTTCTCTTATCTACCGATTGCTTCAGAAATGCATTAAAGAAATTGCTCAGTTATAGAATTAAATTCTCATACCTGTACATGCAATCTGTAGTATTTTTCTCAATCTTAAAAGCCTGGATTGTTTGAATAACTGTATAAAAATTTAATAATTACATCTTCCTACCATGGTGATTGAGGCTAGCTAGGACTGTTAAGTGGTTTTCTCTTAATCTAAGTAGATGTGTGGTTTCTCACTGAAAACCTTTTACTTTAATATTTGTGTTTTCAAGTGGTATGCTTAAGTAAGATATTGATAATCTGCCTTGGTGACGTTTGGATTTGAAAATATTTTGGTTTGGATCTTTATCTGAGCTTCTGTGACCAAAATGATGCAAGCTGTGAAGTGTATTTATCTGAAAAGATGTGTTTTGTGATTAACGAGTGTTCAGTTTGTGGAGACTTTTTTTCATTTTTATAAAAATTTATTTACCCTCAAATAATAGATATTAGAAAGGTAAGGTAAAAGAAACATGAGTTAAAGTAATTATGGTGGAAGCAAGGGTAGAGATTCAAAATTGGAAAACCTAAGATAATAACAGAAAAGAAATTAAGGTAAAAGACTAACCTGCTATGCTTTTGCCGTAATGGTCCTGAGTTTATTTATAAACTCCCCAATTCTTGAACACTATAAGCTTAATTGAGAAAACCCACCATTTTAGAAGTAACTTTCTTTTTTAGTGATGTGTGTATATATATTTATGTTTTTCAGACTCTCAGTGTGCAGTCTTCAACAAATGGTCAGTTTGTCTCTCCCAGTGATATTCAGTTGAAATGTAATTATTGCAAAAGTTCTTTTTGTTCAAAGCCAGAAGTACTGGAATGGGAGGTAAGGGGTTTTTTGGTATTATTATGACAATGATGAAGTGTTAAAAAGTTTAGCCTTTGAGCTCCAGTACAATTTTTCTAGATAGATATTTTATAAGGTATTGAAGCTTAATAAGTTCAGTTAAAATCTACCTAGTTCTGTAGAATATCATTTAACTTCAGTATGGATAAAAGCAGAAGTCTTTGTTCATATGAACATAGTATCTGTGGGATTTAAAGAAAAATGTAATTTCTCAGGTCAGCTGTAAGTCTGAAATCTGCTTTCATCTTCAGTTTTTGCACTTCTCTATGAACTGAGAGAAGTATCTGAAGAGGGTATGCTAAGATTGACTGGCATACTTTCCGTTCAGTATTTTCATGTGAAATAAAGAGTATTTGTAGCACTCACTATTAGCTTAATTGGAATTTGTTAATTCTTAGCATTAGAAGTCATTGTGTGTTCGCACTGCTGTTTACTTTGCAAGTTGTGTCTTAATGGCAACTATTATTTAAAGTTACACTATCCAGACCTTAAGATTTTATCCCTTAACCCTATTCATGATGCTTTGCAACTTTGCATTTAGAACAAAGTGTATCAGTTCTGCAGCAGAGCATGTTCTGATGATTATAAGAAACTGCACTGCATAGTTACATACTGTGAATACTGTCAAGAAGAGAAAACGCTGCACGAGACGGTGAATTTCTCTGGTATCAAAAGACCCTTTTGTAGTGAAGGTATGTATGTATTTGGGTTTTTTTAAGGTATTGGTCATTGTAGTTCTACTGTGGTTGACTTACTTTGATAATACTTAATGTTAAAATTTAAGGTACCAACTTATTCTAGTGTATTTGAGGCTAAACCAGAAGTTTCGTCATCATTATTATTAATGAAGTGCACGTACTTGTTAATTTATCTGAGCTGCCTTTAGAGCTTTCACCACTTGCTCCAGGTTAAGGAAGAGCGAGTAACGCTCTTGAGTGTGTGTGTGTGTATAAATACATACACATATGTAGGCACATGCATATCTACATGTGCACAAAAAAATCAATTTTTAAAATTTGTTTAGCAGAGTATATACCAACAGTAACTGCACTGATGAATACCAAACTTTCTCTTTGATTAGTATTTTCAAAATTTAATACAACTGTGGAAGTTCTGTGTTGGCTTAGAATGGTTATTTAAGCAATAACTTGAATGATGCCTGTTGATGTGTATTGATTACTGTCACTATAATTTTTTTGACTAATTACTCAAATTTTCAAAAAGAATACAAACTAAAAGGGAACTATATGGGCATAGGATTCTTTAAAGTTGCATTAAAGCATGGTTTTAATAGAAACAGCAAAATAGAGTCTTAATGAGGACCAATCCTTTCCACTTCTGGTGAGCTCTCCTTTGATACTGGTATTTAATCATGATCGTAGAAGTCCTTAGAAATTAAACTGTGGGTTTGGATGACCTATCTCTCAAGAATATGGTGAATATTGTTTTTCTTTAGTTATAATAAAACTGCTTTCACTGTCAATTGATAAACCCTGAACTCTGCTTTCAAGCAGATTAAACAGTAGATGTGCCCATTTACTTGTAGGAGGATCCTGTTAAACTGGAGAAGGGTGGAGTGCAGGATTGGAGGCAGCCTTCCTTCCATGCCATTCCCTTATAACTCTGGACTCTGCAATCTTTTGTTTCTAAACAATGGAGTATGGTGACTTAGGTTTTTTTGCTGTGTTCTGGACTGCAAAGTGATAGCTGGAGAGTTAAAAAAGAACGAAGCAAGGCCCAGCTTCACAGTGTATCATTGCAGTGCTCAGCAACATCTAGCTAGAAATTGATTCTATGAATTAAACAATTCCACAGAATATATTTGAACAAGAGCAAACTACTTTTCTGGAGATTACAGTATATGCTTGTATTACTGTGAATATTAATAACTCCCTCATTTTAAAGCCTGGTGACTGTCACAACAAACTTAGTAAGATTCATAATGCCAGCTATACCATATTACTACTTCTGTATGAGGAGGCTTGAAATAAGTGAGGACTTGTGTTTCCTATTGGAAGATTTGAGAAAGGAAAGAAATAAAAACAGTCTCTGCTGTGTGAATATAGTTACTAAGTGGGGGAAATCTATTGCCAGATGTCTTAGTGCTAGTCTTGAATTTTGCAAGTGTTGGACTGCCAGCTTAGGAGGAAATACTGGTTTTTTGAGGGTGAATATGTGAAATGTTATCATAAAACCAAATTTTATCAGCTTATTGTGATGGTCTGAACCACTGAGTAATAGAGAGAGTAGTCAAAAGCACCATTAAGTAGATTATAACTTGAATAAATATAGCACATATCTGCAAGCTGTAGCTGAGATGATGCATATGACAAAGAGCTGATGTGTTCCTGATGCCAATAATCTGCTGACCTGGACAGAAATTCCATAGGAACAACCTAGACCATGTATTTTAAAGGAAAACCAATGATTGTCATCAATGGCTACAGAAATAGTGCAATCTAAGAGTTAACAGTGTTTAGATCTGACATGGGAAGAAGAGCACCAGGACTTCTGGTGGACAGAGTGGAGGTCAACAAATAGAAGTTCCATCATCAGAGTTGATAGATGCTGCTTCCCCCTTTTCCAGGCACCTACACACCACCAATTTGTCTTTGGTATCATGGCCTTTTCCCAGACACACGTCCAACTGTTTGTCAAGTAGAAAAACTAGTAGAAGTACCAAATCCTTGTTGGATATGGAGGCCATCCTGGTTTTGATATTGCAAAGTGTTCAAGAAACCTCACCAATATAGATTATTTTTTTGAGCATGCAATTATTCTTCACCAGAAGACAATGTATCACTATTTGAGAAGGAATAGCTGAAAGTACTCAGTCACAGAAGTTACTGGCGTTTGTGGAAGAAATTGAACTCTCAAGGGAAAATACTGGGAAATTTCAGGGATGTGTTTATAAAGGGTCCTAGATAAAATCAGCAGAAGTAAAGAGGTGTTGAAATTTCTGCTAGTGTACTTATTTGTTCATCTTCAAGCAAAGTGATGGGAAAGCATACATAATGGCATACATCAATGACAAATATCTCTTGACTGCTTAGAACTGCCTAGCTGGAGCACTAAAGGTGTCATCGTTGTTCTGCTCATATTCTTCATACCTGAGGGTTTTTTTACACCTACATATACATACGTATTTACACACAAAGCCCGGCAACCACATTAAAGTATTTCTGTGCACTTTCATTCCAACTCTGTTTCTTTATATATTTCTTTTGAGATATTTAAAAATATGTGCAGGGAGTAGCTGAAACTTCCATTACAGTAAGGTATAATTAGAAGTGACCTAGATTTTGTGCTAAAGATGGTTATTAATTCTTTCATGGAGTATAGTATGTTTTTTCTGTTTTTGTTCAAAAGTTGGATGCTTTGTGGAGAATGAACAACCTGAATGGACTAGTGGAAAGAGTTTAATCTGTTCCCCTGGTGCTGAGGCTTTGGAAATTAAACTGTCCTGATGTTTTACCACTAGAATGATGCATTCCAAACTACCAGTATCTAAATTAAATAAGATGCATATTACGTACACTAAAGAAAATCAAAGTTGCTTGTGGATTTTTATGTATGTATAGTTGCGTGAGTGACAATTGAGGATAGGCTGTGAAAGTTTAGAGTCCTGAGGAAATCTTCAAGTTATTGGGGCTTGGGGTTTTTGGGGGTGGGTTTTCTTGTTTGTTTGTTTGTTTTTGTTAATATATATCCCTTCTGAGAGTCTAGGCCAAAAAATCCTTTGCAATCCTGCAATAAAACTATTTTATGATGAGTATCACCATAATTTTTATTTTACTTGTAGACTTATTTTGCATTCAATTCATCTTTTAGTAGAACTAAGTGTTATGATTTAAATAACACAGGCTTAATAATTTTATAATGCAAATTTTAATAACACTGATTCATATCCAGTAGTCTGTTTCTTGGAAGGAGAAGGTCAATAAGCTATGGAGTAACTCAGTTATCTGATGCTTGGGAATTCCTTTCAAACGAATAATACAGATAAAAGACAGCTATGAAACCAGCAACTGTACTGTCATCTTGACAGCATGCTAATAACTTTCTGGGAATTATGGATTCTGCAAATTAAACCCAGTGTAGACAATTCTGATGTTTCATCTGAGTAGAGATAACATCTTTTGAAATACTGTCAAGCTGGCAAGTAGAAAAAGAAATTTAGAAAATTAAGTGATTGTAGAACTGAGAATGTCTAGAATGTCTTTAACCTTCATTTAAAGCATTGTAGATTTTAGAGTGGGATTTTACTGACCACTGCTGCACAGTGAATTGTTCAGTAAAGTATACTATTAAATGATTAGTTGATTAATTTTTAGATTTACATGAAAACATTACAGATAATTGAGATTAGCCTAAACGTGTGTTAAATCTTATACAGATGCTTACAGAATAGTGTTTCACAACCAATTAAGATACTACCTGAAATTTATAGCAATTCTTGTTGTTATTAGAAACTGAAAAAACTGATTTAAAAACTGACATGTGATATGAAGTGTGCTAAGACTTAGTTTCTGCGTTTCTCTGGTCAGTGGACCAAGGAAGCTGTGCTAAGCTGCTGTGTTCCCCTAGATGAAGGGAGTTGCCATCAAGCCTGCTTGAATCACTTTGTTCCTGATGTTTGGTCTCATTATTTTTAAAGTGAGGGCTACATAAACTGTTTAAACACATCTTTGTAATAGTTTACATTATCAACTATCTATTTTAGAGGCACTGATACAGCTTTTAAAAATAAAATGGACAGTATTTGGGCTAGCATACAGAAATTTTTGAAGACTGTAGAAAAGCATCCTTTTTTCTGCAAAATTTTATGGTATAATTGAAACTTGCTAACTGCATACTTTTTTGCAATAGCTGTCAAGCATTGGTAAGTAGTATAGAATGTGGTTATAGGGGGGGAAAGATATTTAGTATATGTAAATCATATGTGATTTGTAAATATCTCAGTTAAGTGTTTTGCATAATGAAATCCTCTTTTGCTAGCTCTTGGGTTTGTACTTCACAGAGCCATTGCCTCACCTTTCTGCAGCTTTTGACAGAGGCCTACCATGTTAAAATAACTTGTTCTTGCTGTGGTGCTTTTTCAGTTGTAGCCTACCATGTTAGAGAGTTTGGCTTTGCTCATGACCACTTTTGGGGATGTCTCTCTTGAGACAAATTCTAACCTAAAATATCAGCTTCCTGGTGGCTCTCTTTGAAGGTTATTTGGTGCTGAGTTGGAATATCCTGGCAAAAGGGTACAAATGAAAAGCAAAACATATCTTAAATGCTATAAAATGTATGATCCATAAAAATGCCCTTTGACAATTGCAAGAGTCATGTTGTTACTAAGGGAATATATTCCTTTCCCACAAGTCAGGTTAGTAGAGAAGGGGAAGTCAAACGTGGAGGGATTTTGAGGTGCGTGAGCTATTCTGAGAGAATATGACCTCCTTTGACTGCTGTGGACAGAAGGTACAATGGGACATCCCTGACATCCCCTGGAGCCATGACAGTTTTCGTTAGGGAACTCTGATGGCACAGTGCAGTTGTTCAGACCACATCATCTGATTTAGTAGTCTGGTATTAAATCTTTGAGCTGCAAATGGCTATTTCAAACAAATTTTGTCACTGTAAAAGCTCAAATATTCTTTTCTGCTGATAAAAATGAGTAAGGGAAAAGGGACAGGATATTCAA